GATCCGACGAATGAGCGGCAACCACATGTAACGGACCCCGGGCTGGAATCCGCTTTGTCCATGGTGAAAGTTGATGTATTCCCTCAGCGACCAGCACAGATCAGCTCTAGGCATGACGAAGCGATATCTTCCTCTTTTGGAAGACCAAACAAAGTAGTTTCGCTTTCACAACGAAGCACACAGCGTCTTCACGACATGGCTGCAGCGTCAACAATACTACAGTGAGAATAAGAGTTACGCCTTCTTTCTTTGCGTGAACATTTGGGCGGCGTTATGCAAATCTTCCCACATAGTGAGGTAGATATGTGGGGGCGTGTTAGAACGAGCCGTTTTAGGTAGGTGTGGCTGACTCTGAACTTTTATAAAGAATATCTCTTTGGATTTGAGACTTTAGTCTTTGCAACTTTACAGATCTTCTTTATGCACCAGCTTGTAACACTCCAAAGAGAAAGGAAAAATTTAAAATTGCATCATATGACCCCTTTAATGCTGATGTCTGTTCATATGAAACCTCATCATCAGCTTCTTGCACTTCTAAACTAAAATAATGCAAATAAATTCTGAAGTATTTGCAAAGCAGCACTTGACTGGACCGGCATGTTCAGTTCTGTTCAGGACACTATGGACACAAGATACTCCACTGGGAATTATGTAACGAAAGTACCAGCTGATGACCCATAGATACTCCCAAGATGTTTATGGAGTCAGTCATCAAAATGTAGCTACTTTCTCACTAAACAAAGTGGATGGCATAAATAAACTCTATGTAAATGTTTACTTTAAGCAAACCCATCACTGAATCGTGATTTCACAGTTAACAGCTAAACAGTAAAACTGCTAGGGGCGGCAATTTTTCCCTTCTCTGGTCACTAATCCAGGTGCCAGTTGCATTCAGGGCCTTCATATGAGGCTTTACAGAGCCCCTAAACCCCCTATGCAACGTTCAAACAAATGGGCAATGGCAAAGTGTAGTGCTCAGCATAAAGCTGCTCCAATAACAGCCCACATTTTCACTCCCAGCTCACCCGGCGTAAAGAAACAAAGCACCCAGCATCGCCATTTGTAGACAAAACACAAACACGGGCAAAGAAACAAGTCCTAAATAAGGGGTAGATAGTATAGCACATTGTGGTATAGCATAAACACGTGTCATTTGTGCGCATGACAAAAAAAAAAAGTTTAATGTAAATGAAGATTAAGAGGTATAAGCTAATAGCAGATCTTGGACTGATAAGGTTGCCAGGATGTGTGTCTGCCTCAAGTACCTCAGATTGCTGCTGTGCAATTTGATAAGCCTAATCTTTATCTTACCTGCTGCAGTTTAGGGCAGGGTTACTCATCAACTTTCAGACTTACCAGCTCTGATGTCAGAAATTAAAGAGCCAATTAAATCAAAATCAGACTTTTTTTTTTTTTTTAAATCCACTAGCGTACTCAAACGTTGAAAACCTTTATTTAGCAGTTGTACGTATTTAAAATGTACAATAGAGTTGTCATCTTGCACTCAAAAGGATTATACAAATTTCGTCCAAATAAATGCCCCCTCTAGAATGAGAATGCCCCTCCCCTAATACTGGTTGCCAACAATTACCAATATAAAGTAGCAAATTGTGGTTCACAGCTGAACTACTAACCCTTTAAAAAAGGGATAAGCACTTTGATATGTGACATTCCTGTTCCTGTCTCAACAGGAAATACATCTACACAGAAATGAAAACTGTACTTGTCTTTGAAATGAAAACTTGTACTTGGGTCTTTAGTATATATGTATGCATGTATGAGTGTGTGTGTGTGTATCTATTTATTTGTTTATTTATTTTTTTGTTTGTTTGTTATTATCATCATTATTATTTAGCGGCAGTATTTTTAATAAGGTCATTTATTTAAGTATAAAACAGTGTGGAGTCCAAAAATAGTAATAAATTAAACATTTAGAATCTGAACAATTAAATTATTAAATTATATTATATTTAAATTTAGATTACATTTTATATTTATATTTAAATTAAATTATTGTTCAATTAAACTATTTTTAAAAATCCACAACTTTTTTTTTTTTTCTCCCCACCCCTGGAGTGTTTTATTCATGTTCAGGGTTTTCTAGATATTTTATTTATTTGATTGTTTTATTTTATTAAACGCATTTACATCACCTACACAATTGAAAACACTTGCCTCAGAGACAGATATCTGACATATCCGTCAACTACATGAGTCTAAGACACACTAAACCCATAACTAATTACACCGAGAATTGTGTTTATTAAATATGATCAAATATTTAAGGCCCTATGAATTTGTTTTCTTCCCCAAGTACTGTTTCCCCGCCATTTTAATTTTTCTTTATTAATGACTTAATATTAATTTATTAACAAAAATGATGGTACACTAACAATTTAATTAATCATTTAAATAGTAATCAAAAGCACATTTAACAATTTATTTTATTTTCTGGCAAATAAAACATGGTACATAAGGTTTACTGTTAAATATTCCTTAAAGTTTTAACAACTGTATTATTATTATTATTATTATTATTATTATTGTTGTTGTTGTTGTTGTGAGATATCTAAATACAAGAGTTATCTTGTTAGATAACAGAGGTACTGTATATACTACAACTCATACTTTGCTACCACATTTATGGTTAACTTCTGCACTCTAAACACTTACTTACATTATCAAAGAGCCACATTCATTTAATATTTATTTGTTGCCTATGATACATTTACTTCTATGATCCTGCCTGCTAATAAAATAGCAATTAACCCAGCCAACTACTTAGAACAATGAAGTTCTTTATAAATCTCATTTTTCTGTTTGGCATTATCTTTGCTTTCGAGTAATAGTGGGGGAAAACCACTTATCTCTGTCTAGCTCAATTTGTGTCTTGGCAACAGCTGTAACCTGGCAGCCGGGGATATGATCAGTTACCTGCGTAACAGGACAGAGGAGAAGACCACAGACTAAAGGTCAGATAAGACATGAAAAAAGCCTGGATGCATCCAGTGGTTCCCGTGTGAAGAGAATAATTCCAGGGCTCGCTCTCCCGCTGCATAGCAACTCCTGGCAAAATCTACTAGTCTCACTGAATACCAGCTGCTCTGGAAGGGCAAATTATTAGCCAATAAACATTCTGCTCACAGAAAACCAGTGTTTTAAACATCTGATCAGGTTTTTGTTTTCTCTAATTCATGATTACCAGACTTACTAGTAAAGATATGGTTTCACAGACAGATTTTTTTTCAAGAAATCTGGTTTAAGAATGGCAAAGGCATAATTTATTCAAAAGCATGGTGTTCTGCATGTGATGTTTGCTGAAGCGTTGTTAAGGGAGATCTAGATGTTGTTTTAGGTTTCACATTTGCCACATGGAACAAATGGACAATTTATATTGTGGACTTTATACAGGAAGACCAGAATAACAGGCCAGGAGGAAACCAGGTAATAAACAGGCACCACCAAATATGTGGTATTAAATCTGCCAGTGATGGGGTTGATTGTCTCTGAACATAACATTTATGTCAATAACACATTTTCTAGCAGGAGAAACTACAGTAGGGAAGAAAACAACAGAATGTGAACAGATCAAGACAAGGACAGCACATCATGTGAATTTTTTTGTTTTGTTTTTGGCCACTTTTATAATATTTTGGAATATGCATAATTGATTAAAAAACATAAATCACACCTGTAAAACAGACTGGATTCAGGATGGGGAAAAAAAAAAAAAAAAAAAGTTAAATTAAATGCTCAGATTTCAGCTTCTGAATTTCCATAGAAAATGACTAAATATAATTGTACTTGCAATGATATTTCTGCTGATATGAGCATATATTCAGGATTATTATTTTTTTTATTATTTAATATATATTTTTTACTAATCTACTTGTACATGTTTTTCTTGTCTCATCATTTAGCTTGTCTGATTTAAATTTCAGTAGCAAAGTT